TGTGTGTGTGTGTGTGTGTGTGTGTGTGTGTGTGTGTGTTTTAATTATATAAGACCAAAGGTCAATGGCTATTTTAAATCATAGATGAGAAGATTGGAGGGGCAGACAGGTGAAGTAAATGGAAGTGAAGCAACTACAACAGAAGTAACAAGAATGTTGACACAATGTGAAGAATGTAACCAATGTCACTGATCATTATGTCTAGAAACTGTGGAATGTGAGTGGGTTTTGCTGTGTATATTTTCTCCAAAAACAAAAAACAGAGCCAAAAACCCTATGGGGCACAATTCTACTCTGACACATACGGGTTTGCCATGAGTTGGAGTTGACTTGCTGGCAACTGGGCTGGCTATAGGACTGTACAACACAAGGAGTGAACCCTAATGTAAATGATGATCTTTGTTGTTATTGTCAAATACCGTCAAGTCAGCTCCAGCCCATAGCTACCCCATATGTACAACAGAAAGAAACACTGCCTGGTCCTGTGCCATCCTCACAATTGTTGCTATGTTTGAGTCCATTGCTGCAGCCACTGTGTCACTACATCTCATTGAAGGCTTCCTCTCTTTCGCTGACCCTCTACTTTACCAAGCATGATGGCCTTCTCCAGGGACTAGTCCCTCCTGATAACACGTCCAAAGTACATGAGACGAAGTCTTGCCATTCTTGCTTCTAAGGAGCATTCTGGTTGTACTTCTTCCATGATAGATTATGATCTTTAGTTACTAATAATGTATCAGGAATTGTTCATCAACTGTAACAAATATTCTACACGCATGCAAGACATTAACAGGAGAAACTGTGTGCAGGGGGGAGAGGGGATATGGGAACTCCGTGCTTTCTGCCCCATTTTTCTGAAAGCCTAACACTGCTTTAAAAAATAAAAATAAAGTCTATAATAGGAACAAAATGAAAAAAAAGCAAGAAAATCCATGATAAACCAATTACCAAATTTTAAACAATGATAAGATCAGCCCCACACTTTGAAGACGCACCTGTTCTCCTCACCCTAGTCCCAGCTCTGTCCCCTCCCACTGGAGTGCAGTCTAGCTCATTAGTCTCCTTCAATACCTTCCCCTTCCTGACAAGTAAAAGCCCAAGCTCCTTGTTGCTGATGTTGTTAGCTACCGGCAAGTCAGCCCCCAACTCATGGCGACCCCGTGCACCATGGAACAGACACTGCCCAGTCTTGCACCATCCCCATAATCAGCTGTGATCCACAGGGTTTTCATTGGCTGATTTTTGGAAGTCAATTGCCAGGCCTTTCTTCCTAGTCTGTCTTAGTCTGGAAGCTCTGCTAAAACCTGTCCAGCATCCTAGCAACACTCAAGTCGCCACAAACAGACAGGTG